AAGTATAATTAGTTTCTTAATAATCAAGAAACTCACAAGGGGTAGGGTTAACAAAGAAAACAAGGTAAAACAACAAGGAACAACAAGGATTGGTTATTAAACTGTTATTCTTTCCTTTCTCTTAGAACAAGATTACAAGTATACAAGAATACCAAAATAACCTCTCTCCCTTGAAATTAGGATTTTATCTTCCTATTTTTCCTTATATCAAGATTGAGAAACTAGCATCCTATTTATAATAAAATAGCACATTAACCTAATGGGCTTTTTAACAATTACCCATTACAAGCTAACTTAGGGTACAAGCTAACTTAAACAATTAGGCTTACAAGCAAGGCCCAATTCAACATGCTAACAACCTTAGCAATATTGACTAATGCATGTTAGAACAAACTTCGACTATAACACGCATTACTCGCGAGCAGACTTCAACTATACTAGAGTTCGATCCAACATCTCACACCAATGTATGCTTATTGAGTAACTCATCTGAGGTTATGACCTTGGTTGTAACCTGGGTTTTGCGCATTCCACCCAAAGGGGATTGTGTGATAATGTTGGCCTCTTCGTGATAGCTTATACTCATTAAAGCTATATCTTACCTTTATTATTTGTTCGTATGCATTCCTATTTTCTCTCAACAGTGACCTTCTCTATGAACAATTGTTCTGCTTCTATTGAGATCCTGAATGAGTTTAATTTTAAGAAATGGAAGAATGACTTAGAGTTTTCATTATGGATTGCTAACCTTGACATGACATTGCGTGAAACCAAACCTATGATCAATAATCAGAGTACACCTGAAGAGAAAGAAAACTTAGCTAAGTGGGAGATGAGTGACCGACTTAGCTTGTTTGCTATGAAGAGGACAATTTCTAAACATATGATAAGTGGATTGCATGCGAAAGAGAATGCTAAAGAATATCTTACTGCTATTGGAGAGAAGTTTCAGGTATCTGATAATGGTGAATTTGGATATCTAATGAAATAGCTCATGGACATGAAATATGAAAATAATAGGGGGTGTCAGAGAGTTCATTCTTAAGATGGTTCATGTCCAAACCAAACTGAAATCCCATGACATTGACCTGAATGATAATTTTATTGTGTCTCATGCCTTAAACTGCTTACCTGACGAGCTCACTCAAATCAAAACTACCTATAATACATTTGGTGATAAGTGGACTATCAATAACCTCATTACCAAGTGTGTAGTTGAAGAAGAGAAACTCAAGAAGGAAAGAAGTGATCTAGCCCTCCTAACTTTACATGCTAAACCCCATTATGGTAAGAACTCTTGGAAAAAAAATAAGAAAAACACTCATAGTGCTTCTCATGGATATCCTGATAGGAAATTTGGTAATGGTCAACACCATAATATAGGAGGTCCCAAGCCTGTTGCTTTTAAGAAATCCTTTTGGTGCTTTCAGTGTAAGGAAAAGGTGCATAAGAAAACTGATTATCATGCTTTTAAAGCCTGGTTAGACAACAAGAACAAATCTGTAGGGGTTCAGAAACCAGCGGAGACCAAACTTGAGGGAAAGCAAACTCAGGGTAGGAAATGATCTCGAAGTCATTGTGGAGCCAGTGGGAGATGTTGGCTTGGTTTTATGAACTAGTTTTGAACTAGTTTTAAAAGATACATTTTATGTGCCTTTTTTTAGGAGGAATTTGATTTCAGTATCTTGTTTGGAGAAGTTTGGATTTCAATTTACCTTTTATGATGGAAAAATAAATTTAACGTTGAATTCTCAAGTTGTTGGGAATGGTATATAGTTGGATGGTTTATATAAGTTATATTTGGATTATGATATGATTTCCTCATCCTTGAATGTTGAAAGCTCCATTTCTAAAAGGTCTAAAACTAGAGAAAAATCTTCTTTGTTGTGGCACAAGTGTTTAGGACATATCTCTAAAGAAAGAGTTGAAAGGTTAATTAGAGATGATATTTTACATTCCTTAGATTTCAATGATTTAGGGATTTATGTGGATTGTATTAGAGGAAAGTTTACTAAAACCAATAAGAAAGGTTCAACTAGAAGTTCAGACCTTTTCGAAATTATTCATACAAACATTAGCGAACCCCTTTCTCCCACTATTTATGGTAATAAATCTCTTATCACGTTTATTGATGATTTTTTCCTGGTATGGCTATCTCTACTTGATTAAGGAAAAATCAGAAGCACTTGAAAAGATTAAAATCTTTAAAATTGAAGTTGAAAAGCAACTAGGAAATGTGATAAAAGTGGTGTGTTTTGACGATGGTGTAGAGTATTATGGTAGATATGATTCTAGCACATAATGAATTAGAATTGCATCATATGGATATTAAGACTGCTTTTCTAAATGGTGATCTTAATGAGGAGGTGTACATGCAGCAGACTGAGGGTTTTGTGTCATGTGGTAATGAGCATTTGGTTTGAAAATTGAGAAAATCTATTTATGATTTGAAACAGGCTTCTAGGCAATGGTACTTGAAATTTTATGATGTGGTACCTTCATTGAGTTTTGAAGAAAATAAAGTTTATCAGTGCATCTATCTTAAGGTCAGTGAGAGCAAATTCATCTTTCTCGTGCTGTATGTTGATGATATTTTGCTTGCCAGTAGTGATCTTGGTCTACTTCATGAGACCAAACTTATGTTAACCAAGTTCTTTGATATGAAGAATCTTGGTGATACATCCTTTGTGTTGGGAAATGAAATACACAGAGATAGATCACATGGTGTTCTTGATTTGTCACAGAGGGCTTATATTGATAGAGTTTTGGAGAGGTTCAACATGCAGAACTGTAAGCTAGGAGATGTTCCAATTACTAAAGGAGACAAATTCAATAAAGATCAATGTCCTAAAAATGAGATCGAGCTAAAAGAAATGAAGGAAAAACCCTTTGATAGTGCACTGGGCAACATGATGTATACTCAAGTATGCACTAGACCTGACATTGCTTTCATAGTTGGCATCTTGGGACGATACCAGTCTAATCATGGGAATGATCATTGGATTGCTGTTAAGAAAGTGATGAGATATTTACAGAGAACTGAAGAGTATATGCTTGTTTTTAGGAGAGTTGACAACTTGGAAATAGTTGGGTATACTGACTGTAATCTTGCTGGTTGTGTTGAAGATAGGAAATCTACCTCTAGTTACATTTTTATGTTGGCTGGAGGTGCGATGTCATGGAAGAGTAAAAAGAAAACTCATGTCGTCTCTTCTATTATGCAGGTAGAGTTTGTTGCTTGTTATGCTGCTGCTCATGTTGTTTGGTTAAGAAATTTAGTGACTGGACTTTGTATTGTTGATTCCATTGCAAAACCACTAAAGCTTTATTGTGATAACAATGCAGTTGTGTTCTAGTCTAAGAATAATAAAACTTCTAGCGGTTCTAAGCATTTAGAATTGAAGTATTTGACAGTCAAAGACCTTAAAAAGAAAAATGACATTGTTGTTGAGTACATTGATACTGATTTCATGCTAGCTGATCCCATAACTAAGGAATTTAGGCCCATTGTGTTCAAAAACCATGTTGAGAGTATGAACATTGTGAGTTTTTTTGATGTAATAGGTTGGTGAGAGTTTACTTTATGTCATTTTCTTATCATGATGTATTTTATTTTAGACACTTTAAGTGTTAGATTTTTAAGTACTTTCAACTTTAAGAAATTGATATTACAATGAATATTGTTATTATTATTTGTCATTGTTTGTTTATAAGTCAATTGTTAAAATTGAGACTCAGTCTCATTGAGACCACAATGCCAATGGCCGACACTAGTTTGGAGTTCGAGGTATGGTTATAATTTTGAGCTCGACATCTTCGGGACCATTATACCAGTGATCGATGCCATATTGGAACTGAGGTATGATTTTAAGCTCGGCGTTGTCTGGACCATTGTGCCGGTGGTCGACGCCATATTGAAACTGAGGCATTATGGTGTGTAAAACCATTCAATTTCTTTGGCTTTAGTGTATTTGAGAGAAATTGTTAAGGACTGACAAAGAAAATAGTAGTTGGATCACATTAACATGTTATTTTCTTGTCACACTCCACATTGATGACTAGTTGACAGAGTCCGTAGTATTTGTAACCACGGAAGATTTTATGTAAATGAAAGATATAATAATCGTCGTGATTCAATACTATTTGACTTTTGTTGGATGAAGTCATATACTGCACCTGGAATCATGCATTTTCTTAAAATACGGCCGCATTTTAAGGAATTAGTCGTTAACCCGAGAGTTGTTTTCAAAATGTATTTTAAAATAAAAATTATATAATTGATTTTACTCAAGTGGGAGAATGTTAGATTTATCTAACTTTCTATGGGTTACAATCAATTGTTGTTTAGTTTGTGAAAAACGGGTTAATGTGATTCTGATGGGGTGCATATATAAGTCATGTTATTAGTTAAGTGATCTCTTTTATAACTAAAGGTTGAATATCTGAAATCTGATTGATGTGTGTAAAAGTGTGGGCTTTAACCTTGGACCCATAGTGGATAGAGACTGTGATTATATATATTATATGGCTAGGTCCCCTCTGTAATCACAAGAATCAGAAACATAACTGACGGCTCCACAACTTGTCCCATTAAGAGTTGTGAACGAGAGTGTGAGATATAGGGAAGATCCGATCATTCATTTTTAACAAGTAAGCATTGATGTTCTAATTTCATATAATTAATTGTTGAATATTTTCACTTACCGTCAATTGAATATTTAAGTCTTAAATCAATTAACAACTGAGAAAGAGATAAACTCGCAAACTAAATCTTAAATAGAATCATCTTTTAGTTTGGAACCAATTTCCTTATTTAGAATGCTTTCATTCTCAACATAAAACATATAAACTAGTGAAACCATCAAAAGTACACAATTCCATATCAATTTCTATAAAAGTTTAGACATTTCTCATAGAATTAAGTACAGAACTATAGCAACATGTTACTTTCTCTAACCATGGTTAGAAGACACGAGCAATAACCACACACATTTCTAACCTTAAGTAGTAAAGTCAACTTTCAAATTACTACAAAAGTTACATTCAAGAACATTAGATTTTTCACCATCTTTTGGAGGCAGAGGAGCCAAAGTACCCGAACAATTCACCTTATCACAAACAAACTTGGACAAGAAAATCACATGTGGCAGATCACTGTCCTTGTTCTCCCCCTCATTCCAATTGGCTTCAATCATACACCTATCACAGTCACAAACAAAACCAAAATCCTCCATCAAGATTCTTTTCCTTGTTGCGTAATCCTTATTAATCCTTTGGTAGCTTACGCATATCTCACTTCCAGCATCAACATCCTTAATCAACCTAATAACAATATCAGTATTAGGTTCATCCTTTTCCACGTAATCAAACCTGCATGCATTAGGAATACAATCATGGTTAAAAATAGTGGTAATTGGGTAGATTCCATAAGCCTTAATAGATCTTTGAGGCCCATTTGGTGAATAAGGTTCCATTAAGCTAAAAGAGTTTGCTCTTTCTATTGCAATGACTTTAGCTGCTAGTTCTGGCGAGAAGTTCATGTGAGGTGGACAAAAAGGTGAGACAAGAGAGTGAATGAACTTAGCAGCACCAAATATAGCATCACTTTTATCATAATTAGGAACACTATGAAGAGAAAGTAAAGTCTCGAGATTTGAAGGAGTGTGAATAGCAAGATCGTAAGCAGCAACAATTAAACGAGCTTGAACTTGGAGTTCAGAAGATTTTTCTGATAAAGGTGAAGTAGGGTTTTGAAGATGAGAGAGTGTTTGACATGTCCAAGGAGAGTGAGAGGAGTTAAGGGAAATGGAGAGACACTTTTGACTGCAGAAAGTGTAGTTTGAGCAAGAAGGACATGAAAACGTTTGTGAAGGTGGTAGGGTTCTGAAGCAGTGGTGACAGTAACGGGAAGGTGAAGGAGAGAAGAGAGGTGATGCTGAGAAGATAAGGAGAGGGGATTCAGTGATGATTGTTTGGCCAGCTTTGAGATCTTGTGCTGCAAGAAGGCCTCTACCTTTGTTAGGTATGTTCACCAGTTTAAAAAGAGAGGGTAGAGCAACCATGATTATTGTCTATGGATGAGTTAACTACTCTTCACAAGTTTTAGGATTCAAGATTATAAATGTAATGACCAAAACGGTGGCAAATATGCTTGAAGACAGATAATAGGCAACAGGATGATACTTAACAACTCAGATTTTAATATCTTATTATTATGGTAATGAAATTTATTCATCAATTTTGGAGTACTTATTATTTTAAGGTAGCACTCTCTAGTAGTATAATATTGCATTGACACCACCAATGCACTCAAATAAAGAAAGTGCTTGAGAGTGAAAGAAAATGAACTGTTGAATAAATATATAGTATTCTGGTGCGGAAGGTAGTAGGATGGTGATGTCAAACCGTGAAAAGTCTCCAATAAGGTTGTTGATTCTTTCAACACAAAACTTATTATATTATGGTAGTATAATATTTCATCGACACCACCAATGCACCAATAAAGAAAGTACTCTATTAATGTGCTAAATAGAGAAGGAAAGAAAATGAAGTTTTAAATAAATAGTGTATTCTTGTTTGGAATATAGTGGGTTGTTGATGTTGCTTGTGGAAGGACTCCCCGATCGAAATACATGTTTTTGATGGTTGCTGATGGAGTGTTTAAGTAAATTTGATACTCTAACGCTTCAGTCAACAAAGTTAGAAAGATGAAATTTGTAAGTATGTAGTGAATCGTAGTTTGACACAACAAGGAGTCTCACACACACACACATATATATATATATATATATATATATATATATATATATATATATATATATATATATATATATATATATATATATATATATATATATATATATATATATATATATATATATATATATATATATATATAAAAGAATGACGGTTACAACCATTTATGTTGGGCGCGCTGTCATGTGCTGGGACCGTTGGATGTCCTCCGATGGTTGAGATGGAGTGGTGCCTTGCTTTAAGGCAGGGCTCTCCAATAAGAGTACACATGTCCGTCAGATTGAGTAGAAGTGAATTTTGAATTTTGCCGATTTTATTAGGCCACTTGGTCAACCTGAAATGGTTTTTTCCCGAGTCTCTGCTATCAGAAATAAAGCCATAATTTGTGTTATCACTACAAGAAAATATGGTATTAGTTAGGGGAACGGGTTAGCGGAAAAACCCCTCACTAAAAAAAATCATCTTGCTTGGGGTTAAACCCTTCACAAACCACAAAATAGAAAAAAAAATAAAAAATAAAAACCACTTCCTAGGGGATACCCCTCGCAAACAAGGAGGAAAAATATTTTGAAATTTGAAATAAGGTTTTATTAGGAGTCAGCTCAGAAAATAGGTGGGAATTGATGCAGTTTGCAAGGGGTCGACCCCTCACCAGTATATGTTATGCAATTTGCGAGGGATACCTCTTCACCAGTTGACATACTTTAGTCAGATCCACCTGCAAAAACATTTATTCTGCTGCCAAAGTGTCTACAACACGTTAAAGCTGCCTAGGGATAGCCCATCGCAAAATCAATTTTCATAGCTTGCGTGGAGCACCCCGTCGCAATGTTTGTCCACGTGCCACACATGCAGTCAGTCATTTGACACGTCAATGTGACCGTTGTGATGGCGTGGGGCACCCCCTCGCAAATGAACGCATTAAATATAATTGAAATTCCCGCTGATATAATAATATCCGTTTTTAACTTACACACTTTCTTCTTTTCTCACCCTTTTTTCTTCTCCTTTATCTTCTCTCACCCTTTCTTCTTTCTATTTTTTGCTTTCCACCATTTTTCTTCTCATTCCATGTCATGAAGATTTTATTTTTGATATACTGAAAAACAATACCGTGTGCTCATATTAGGTAAATATTTATGTTATTTTATATTATTTTTATATTTTGTAATTAAGTTTATTTCTTAAATTTATTAATTAATTTTTTTTATATATTTTCTTTATTGTATGTATACTATTGATAATAAAGCTCTCAAATTTTATCTAAAAGGAGTTACAAATTTAAGAGAGCTTCAAAAGGTACATATTTATTTTTTTCTCAAGACTTTAGATATAATTCATAGTAATATATGTTGATTTTGGTTTGATGCTCGTATAATAAATTATATATTATTTTTTATTTCGAAATTTCTGTATATATTTTTAGTAAATTATTTTTGAAAATATTTTTTTTATTTCTTATATTTTTCAGATTTATATTATAATAGTTTTATAATATTTGTTAGAAAAAATTGTAAAAAACTGTATAAAAACAGATTATAATAGTTTTATATTATTTAGTATATATTAATAAATGAACAGATTATATTATAAAAATAATTATATTATAATTAGTTTATATTATAAAACAAATTTTAAAAACAAACTTTAAAAATAGATTTGTAATACAAATTATAAAACAGATTTTTTAAAATATTTATAAAACAGATTTTATAAAATAGATTTATTAAAATATTTATAAAACAAATTTAAATTTATTATATTATATTTAGTTTATATTATAAAACAGATTTTAAAAATAGATTTGTAATACAAATTATAAAACAGATTTAAAATTATTATTAGTGTTGCTGAAATTGCACATAGGCTGGTAAATTTACTTATGTTTTTACTTAAGTTTTCATTTAAAATTTAGATTAAAACTAAATATTTTTTCACTTATGTTTTATTTTATTAGCGTGATGAGTTGGGTAGAACTCCGATGCTTAATGAGATCTATCTAGAGAATCATATCAAGAAAAATGGGGAGTTTGATAAACGCTCAAAGGACATTCAAGTAAGTTTTGCTAAAATTTAGTCATTTTATTTCTTTCTTTTATAACATGTTATTTAGTCATCTTATTTAAATTATTATAACATCTAATTTTTTTTTATAGGAGTATGATCAAAAACTTGCACTTTCTTTACCTGAGCATCCTGAATTACCTCCACCATCACAGGGATACCCTTGTCTAGGTTTTCAGATTTGGTATGATACTGCTCGCGGGAAGAGGAAAAATGGAAGGGTGTATGGTGCTGGAGGGTATCAAAACAATTAAGCGGCGTGATAGGACTTTAATGATGAGACTTGATGATGGAGAAGGATCATCACGTCCACGTATATTAACCGCTGATATGCTTGAAACTGTGAGAAATTTGACGCAGACCGAGACAGCACGTGAGGCAGCAGTTAGACAAGCAGAGATGAAGGAAATGAGGAGAAGACAAGCAGAGATGGAGGAAGAATTGAGGAGGAAAACAGCAGAGTATGAGGAAGCAATGCGGATTGCAAATGAGCGCGCATTGAAATTTGAACAATTTATGGCCTTGCATATGAAAGGTGTGGTAGAAAGAGATGAGGAAGATGAGGATGATGATAAAGAAGTTGATTAAATTTGTTAAAATATAAAACTTTTAATATATATATTTTTATATTTTATTTTATTTTTGTCATGAATTATTTTTATTTTGACGATGGATTTGGATATTTACTTTTATTACACTTTTAATTATAAGTTATTATATTTTACAAAATATATATTTTTATTTATTATATAATTATTTTAAAATATATTTTTTTATTATATAATTATATTATTCTAATTATAATAATATAATTAAATAATATAATTATAAATTTAATAAAAATTTATTATATAATTTATATTATTCTAACTAAAATAATATAATTAAATAATATAATTATAAAATTTAATAAAAATTTATTATATAATTATATTATTATTCTAATTATAACAATATAATTAAAATAATATAATTATAAATTATAAAAAAATATTATAATCATTAGCTAGGGGTTAAACCCCTCATAATTTCCAAAACGTAGGACAATTTGCTCGGGGCTTTACCCCTCGCAAAATTCTGGCACAAAAAGCTAAGGGTTTTACCCCTCACTAAATTCAAAAAGCAGGTAAGTTAGCTAGGGGTTTACCCCCTCGCAAATTATCTGACACGTCTGTGCCCCTCTGTGGCTCTAGTCTGTGTCTATGTCTGCAGCGTAATAGTCTGAATTTTTTTCATGACATTTTGCGAGAGGCTTATCCCCTAGCCAAATTTGCGAGGGGTTTATCCCATAACCAATAACTTGCGATGCCCTGATTAGCTAGCGACCCTGTCCCCTCGCAATGATGTTTTGTGATGAGTTTTTTTGCTTTAGTGAGGGGTTTAACCCCTAGCTATATGCAGTTTTAGTGTATGGGAGCGCTAAGACCGGCCTCAGACAAAACTTCGTCTAAGAGTGCGTGATTTGTTGGAAGACCTCTTCGGGAAGAGGGAGGTCCTGTTGATAAGTCGAATGTGATTTGGTAGTCTCGAAAACACACATCAAATGCATGTCTCGTCATTGAAACATTACTTATGGGATGAGAGGAAATCAATGTGAATTTAGACGTATAGGATAGGGAGGTGGCACCCTTAGGGGGCTTGAGTACTTTGTTGTACTTTAAAAATAATAATGCCAAGGCAAACAAGGTGAAAATATACTTTATGAGGCTTGTAGTGCAAAGGTTTACATTTTTAGATATTTTCCACAAGTGTTATGAATTTAAAACGCGGTAGTGAATTTGTTGTAATAACACTTTAATTTGGCAGCATTCCAAGTTGTTGAGATAAGTTTTCCATGAAGATTCTCAATGGTGTAGGCTTATTTGTCTGTATCGGTCTGAACCCGATAGGGTCCTTCCCAGTTAGGTGCAAGTTTTCCTTCTCCAGTATTACCTCCTCATACGTTGTACCTTCGAAGTACAAGGTCATCGGGATGCAAAACATCTCTTCTCGTCTAAGATGTCAAGACCTTCCTTTATCACTTGTAATTTCCTCTTTCTGGAGGGGGTGTGAAGTTCTCTAGGTGAGTTTCCCAACATCAACAGGGAAGGAGACCTTCGTGTCGTATGTAAGTCTAAAATGCGCCTCCTAGATGGTAGATTAGGATGTAGTTTGATATGCTCCATGGCTATGTGGGAGATATTCTACCCAAATGCCCTTAGATCCCTCGAGCCTCCGTTTCAATCCTCTCGACAATATCCCA